CTTGAGATCGGCTAAAAAAGTGAGAAAACAAGGTAACCCTTTGTCACTGTCGTATATATAAACATGCATATTTTAGACAAATTGGTTGGTTGAGACTTTTGGAAAGCTTTCTTCCAAAACACTTCTATGTACAAGATATTTGTGGAGTTCTTTTACTTAGTTTTTCTAAGTGTAGAAAAAATCCGAAAACTCCAGAGGATTGAAGACAAGCACCTTGCTGGTATTGGAGTGTTGCTAGGATATGGACTTTTCGACAGAGGGAGGCTACGTTGGCTCCTTGTTATCCAAAAGATCCATCCTTCTCTGGTTTACGCTACAAATGTCGATTTCTAAACCTCTTTATTGGTGTGTTTTTGTTTCTTAAATTTCATGCATGTGAATCTTTGGTGGGAATTTCAAAAAGTTAAAAATTGTGTGCTTATAATTCCGTTACCATGATATAAAATTATTTTAAATCCTCATACAAACACTTACCTGGTAAGTGCTGAGCGGGTAATTTTCCTCACCTGGTGCACATGGCAAGGGCCGAAAATCTTACCCGGTAAGAGTGATGATAATGATAGAGAGTCTTACCCGGTAAGTGATGGTGGGCACTCTTACCCGAGTAATCGTTTACAGGGTAAATTGTTGCATATGGTATCGTTTTAAAATACTTCAATCTTACCTAGTAAAATAGATTATAGTGTTAACTCCTACCGATAAACGCTTACCAGGTAAGCATTTGGGTAAATACTCCTGGTGAATAAATTAAGATTTTTTTACAATTAACTTCTTTTAAATTACATTTTGAATATAAATACAAGGAGAGTTTTCTAATTTACTCCTTCCACTTAATTAGTAGAGCAAGTTACATGTTTTGTCCATGTGGTTTATATTTATATCGTATCAATTCCCCCATTTAATACAATTACTTATTACAACCCTGTGGTTTGTAGTTTATGACATTTTTGGTCTCTTGCCTAACTCTTATAAAAATATTAAGTTAGGCGATTCAAAACTGAGCATAATCACATTTGGCGACGGGTTATCACTGCTCTACACGGAGAAGATGGAGGTTTGAATAATCTGGCCAGATGTGGCAGATTCCAGGGGCTTTGGAGGAACATTTTAAAATCCATAGGGAATTCAATAAACTTAATCTTCCTTTCACGGACTGGTTTCAAAGAGAACAAAGGCCAAATGGGATCGACTTTTCATGGCGATGGGCTCTGGATTCTCACGGTACCTTCTCGGTCTCTTCGACGAGAGCCGCATACGATGACCTTTCGCTAGACCAGGTTAGTTTCCGAACCTCTTGGTGGGTCAATTGGGTTCCCACAAAAATTTAACATTTTAGCTTGGCGTCTGCTTCACAAAAGGCTTCCGACCAAAAACAATCTCTTAAAAAGAGGTGTGGTTTGCCTCTCATCTTTGTGCCATGTGTGTGAATGTACCTAAGAAGACGAGGAACACTTATTCATAGGATGCTCGATATCTCGGAAAATGCTCAAGGACCTGTGCATATGGTGGAAAGTGGATATAGAACAGGTGAATTCGATCGACAATCTTCTTGACCATAGCTCGGAGGTGGCTGGGACTTCCATGTGTAAAAAGGCGTTTATCGGAGTGGTGTACGGGTTCTTCTGTATTATTTGGAACTTGCGCAACCGTAAATTTTCTTAGCTCCCTCTCAGAATTCGGCTACTTTTCTCGCAGGCCAGCTTCAGGTATATTCTTTTTTCTGGTTTAAAAATAGGGTGCCGAAAGGTGTTTTGGTGAATAGTTGGATAGAGTGGTGTAATTCCCCCATGTCTTGTTTTTTGCCTGTACTCTCTCTTTGCTAGCGTCTTGCTAGTCTTTTTATAATATTTCGCCTTTCTTTGCTGGTAAAAAAAAGTGGCTTAAATTAAAGGGGTATTTTAGTCATTCACTTTTCCTCCAGTTCTAGTTAAAAAATTAAAAGATATTATACATATATACAATAATCGATATATAAACATTACAAAATGATACATAAAACGTACGACCTCTAAAACCCCGAAGAAACCCTCGACCTTGCAAGAGCCCTTTGGAGAAACCTACGACCACCGTTCGCCATCTCTTCCTTAAACAACGTCTCCTTCCTTCTCCGCTTGCCCACCACATCGCCCTACGCTGGAGAAACTCACCATCGTCTTCGTCCTTCAGTGTTGGGGATGGCAAAGAAAACCCCGAAACTGATGATGAAAACCGAAAACCGAAACTTTTGGGCTGGGTTCAGGGATATTTTATCGGGGGTGGGCGGGGATTGGGGACAAATTCGGGGATTTTAACGCCTGATATGTGTATGCATATTAATTTATATATATATATATATATATATATATATCATTAAAAGAAAATGGTAATATTTAATTTTAAAAGACTTTTTTCCATTTTATCTCAACAACCCAAATAAGGCTCATGAAAAAGTCAAGTTTATTTGTCTAATCGTGAAATCGTGATGTTAGTTGTATGATGTTTAAATTTATGGTTACTTTATATTGTAATATAATACATTGTTTGTAACTGGTTCGATTATGTTTGAGACATTTAAACTTACATCTTTAAAAAAATTGTAATTTATTTTTAATTGTGAATATTAACATATTGTAATTTTTCTTAGATCAGTTTCGGGATTCAGATTCGGTTATAACTAATGGTGAACAGGAAAAAAAATGATTTTTACCCTTAACGGGTTCCCCAACGAGGATCGTGGAAACTGCAGGGACCCGATGGGGATCCCCGACGGGGATCAGGGTGATTATGGGGACGGTTTTAGTTATCAGTTTCAGGGACGGAGATACCAATAACCGGCCCGTTGTCATTCCTATTAAGTGTTGATCACTTACCATTGTACAACACCACATCCAGATTACTCTCTTGTTCCTCTTCCATCGTCTCCATATGATTGAATTTGTTCCTAAACATGTTGATTTTGTTAGACGTAAGCACTGTCAAAGAAGATATATGATCATATTAGATACCATCTATTTAACATATATAGGTATTGTTTGGTAAACATAAGTTTAAGTTAATTTATTTTTTGGATACATGTTCGGATGAATATAAGTTAGCTTATTGAAATACTACTTGGTGCTTATTGTCAATTTTTCCAAATAATAACTCTCATTAATATTAATTATTATTACTAATCATAAATAATTATTAACAAATATTAGTTATTACTTATATTAATAAATATTAGTTGAAAATTATCATTATTAAT